CAACTGAAAAACAGACTACCTCATTATCTTTACTTAATGTATTGTAGATTGTGTTAAATGTGCCCCAATTTCATTAATGAATCTAGGTCTGTTTGAAGTTTGATTATTGTGAATTCTCTTTTATGTTATTGTTGTCATTGTGAATAACGAAGTGTAAATATTAGGTCATATAAATTACGTAATGCGTAAACATTGAAATGAAGCACGATTTCAGTGCATGACATTTCAAAAATGAAAACTGATAGAATTCTTTTCGCAATACAATTTTATCATAAAGTGTGATGTTGAAACAAATAGTTTATACTGTACGATTAGAAAACTACTATTGCTACCACGATCGCTGCTATTACTACATCTATGACTGATACTACTACTACTACTACTACTGCCACCCACACGACTACTACTTCTACTACTGCTGCAAAAAAGCTACATAGTCAACGAATACGTCACCCATAACCACAACAACAAAATAAACATCAACTGCTGCTACACCTACGACTGCTAATACTGTTACTACCACACACACTACTACTGCTATTGATACAACAACAACAACTACTATTACTACTACTACATCTTTAACAACAACAAAAGCAGCGTCTACTAATACTACTACTACTACTACACCTCAGACGGCTACAACTACCACTAGTATTTGCATGGTTTCAGTGCGGGACATTCCAAAAATGAAAAATATCAAATTCCTCTCACAATCCTATTTCATTATAATTTTCAATGTTGAAACATATATATCCTAGTGAATGGTTATAACAACAGATCACAACTTCATTTTGATGTTTAAATTAGTTGTATGTTATATATTTTACAATGTAAGATTAATGAACTTTATGGCAGGTTATAGTTTCTCTGATACGTATAGTTACAAGTGGTGAGATTTTAATGAATCATTATTCCTGTTTAGCATATCAACTGACCATATGTTGGGGAGGGGGGAAACGTTTTAAGTTGTGATGATGTGGATGTAAGAAAATCAAAGATTTTGATGAAATGGAAGCATAGTGGACCATGAAAACAATAATGCTAAACGTCGATGATGTGATAGGTCAAATAACATGTATTACATTCTAATTGTATGTAACAACATGTAATCTACATTAATCTCTTGTATAATTAACGTGCATATAACTTCAAACAGATATCATACTCTAGTAGTTGAATTCATGAGTCAAATGGAGCTGCACTACCATGACGCAACTCCGTGAATTAGTTGAAGTCAGATATTAACACCAATGGATGACAGTTTCTTGGTCTAGAGGTGAAGCGTTCGTGCGCAAAACCGATAGGTCCTGGATTCGAATCCCATCGGACGGGATTGTTGTCATTCAAATCAATATTTCAGTGATATCCTTCATTTAACTACTAAATTGGAGTAATTTTTGGTTATTTTTTGGGTGTTCTCTTGACCTGTTGTTACTGCTTCAGAAAACGTTGAATGAACGATTATTGAGTTTCACAGGGCTTTACATAATTCACCATTGACTATGTCCAGCTATGTTGAGCTGGAGGTCTTTTATGAGACTGGGGGTTTGCCATTGGCACTGTGAATGGTTGGACAATAATTTGGCAAGCTTTGCTTAAATTTGGTTTGCTGGTTAACCGATTTCATTCATGCTGGCAGTTGCTTTTCAGTGTTCTCAAGTGACTTTGTAAGACATGTCGCCATTACTAACATTAATGAGTTTGACTGTCATGTAAGCAGAATAGGTCAACTCCCGGTTGTTCATGCTGTGCATAATTGACTCACGTGATCATTGACCGGAATAATTATACATGTGATATGAATGTGTATATGAATGATGCGAATGGTCCACCAGGGTGCTTGGTACATGTATGGTTGCGTCACAGGATTGAGCTGTACTATTCAGATTATAGCGTTGAAACCTATACGGTGTCTGGGTCCCGGGTCAAGCGGGATTAAGCCGCATTTCTCGGATTATGAAGTTTAAGACTGAACAGTGTCTGGTTCTCCTGGAAACTGGATTGAACCGTACTATTTGGGCTACCATTTTTAAGCGTGAGTGGTGTATGGCTCTCCGGCGAAATAGGATTGACCTGCACTGCTCGGGTTAAGTCTGGACGGTGTCCGGCCCTCATGTTGAACGGGATTGAGCTATACTGTTTGGGTTGTCATGTGAAAGTCTGGATGGTTTCCGGTTCTCCCGAAAACCAATGTATATTATATAACTATAACTATGTCAATAATGGAAGTTGTCTTCTATGAAACCACTAGTAGATTGTCGATTCCTACAAATTTCGTCATGTTATTTTCATGTGATTTAATAATAATAATATTTCATTCTCAAATACCAGTTTGTTACATGAGGCATAGATGATTTACGAAGGCATTCATCATCGATATCTAACATCATCTCTTGATTGGTTTGGTATAACAGTCATTAGTTTGATTCCTCAGTCATTTTTACAACTACTGCTAACAATTACTTGACGTTTTTAAATGACCGAATCTTATATATAATTTGAAATATAACAGCGATTCGGTCCAAAGTGTTTAAGTAACAGTTAAGTATCAAGGCAACCCGTACAGGATGTAGATATGTCAACAAGGGACTGATCAATTGCAGTCCTAAACATCAATCGGAAGATTGAAGTAAACAATACCAAGTGAATTTAAACTTCACCCCATTGCACAAAAAATTGGCTATCAGGACTCATTAACTAAGTGGATAACGCGATGGATTTTGAAGCAACCGGTATTGGGTTCGAGTCCCTGGGTGTAGATCAACTGTGAAGTGCAAGTACAACCAGCTGATGAGTCCCAAAAAGGATGTAACATGGGTCTTCTATTCCATCATCATCCATTTTTGCTTACAAAACTTTTGACTTAAAGCAACATTAAGGCAATCCACAGATGATACACATATGTCAATCAGAGGCCGATCAATTGCAGTCCTAAACAACAATGGGGAGATATAGACAAACAACACCAAGTAAAATAAACATTTTACTAATTTGTGTTTTTAACTTCATTTATTTCTGGGAGATCATTTCATCTCCACGTTTTCTGTAAATCTCATCTTTAATGAAGAACAAAATGTTGTGGACTAGAAGACCTATGACGGTGTAATGTTTGTATGAATTAATGATTACTCTATACTTGAAGACTGCTTGATTTGGAATTACAGATACAATACGTTCTTCCGTGCTCATCTAACATTTCCTGGTTAAATTGCGTTATTTCTAGAATTCTTAGTTTGAACTAGAATTCAAATACTCCTAATTATAAGACAGAGGGACAACCGAATATATTTTGATACAAAATTACAGTATAACTTTTTAAAATCTGAGAACGGTATAGTAAACACTTCATTTGCAAAATATCCATCAATCGTCTCGTACTTGATTGTTCCTTCGATTCTATACCAATTTATCTCTCTTCTCGTTCTTTTTTCTTCAACTTTCTCAACCTCTGCCACTAAGAAATTCACTTTCGGTTGGTGATACATACTACGCAAATCTGTCGACATCAGTAGTACACACTACATTATGCACATATATGGGCACATAACTATAATAAAATCATAAATACAAATATTCCTATTCATATTCCTTCTCCTCCTCATTCTACTACTACTACTACTACTACTACTACTACTACTACTACTACTACTACTACCACTACCGATACGCTTAATAAATATGGTAAAGAATAGAATAGATTCATATGGATCCAATTTCTTTATGATTTATGTAGTTTGTAAATGATATACAACACATTCCGAATAATCCAAAAATATATTGTCTAGATTCATATAATCACACCATGTATACAGTAGTGTACTAATGAGGTCACTTTTGAAACTTGCCGACATATTCGTAATTTAGATTAATTAGTTTGTTTAATTATTTATGTATAATGAGACTTATTCCAATCAGAACTAGGGTATATTTATGGTAAGTATTTATGTTTACTAACCATCATTTTGAAATGATATAAAAGGAGAAGAAGAAGAGTAATAAATGAAACTACAATATTGAATATGATTTATTCATTTGTACTACTTCCTAATGTACTTCTATTATTTCTATATGAGTCTACAGGAAATGGTAAATATTGTTTATTTGAATCTTTTCATTGATGCTATCGAGTGCAATTGATCAATCTTTTGTTGGTATATATATGTATATCCTACGCGAAATACCTTTATAGTGCATTCAGTCACAAGTACTATAAGTAGAGATGGATGACAGCCAGCAGTGAAATATGGAATGAGTGTTTCATTGTATTAGAGACTTGTCAATTATATATATATATATATATATATATATATATATATATATATATATATATATGTATACATCTCAGAGTTGATGTTCACTTTGAAACTTCAACCTACTACCATTCGCTTTACACGTAATCATATTATTCACTTAGTTTCAAGCCCTGAAATGAACATTAACACTGGGATATAGGTATATGTAGCTGATAAGTCAAAAAAAGAACGAAATTCTCATTCTCAATTCCACTATTAGCTATCAATCATCTTTACATCTACTATCTATTTATGTTGATTGATTACTAATGTCAATTGTTTATAAAAACAAATATCTGTAAGACATTATCCTTTGTTTTTGATTGAAATCATGAGTCAATTGAGGCTAGACCACCACAAAAAACCTGGAAGAACTGGACACCCGTTTCGTCCTAGTGTGGGACTCCCCCGCGGCAGTGCGCATCCATGATCCCGCCTCCGGCGAGATTCGAACGCAGGACCTATCGGTTTCGCGCCAGGCACCTAACCAACTAGACCACTGAGCATGCACCCAATGATGTTAATATCTAACCACTAACTTCAATTGACTGATGATTTCAATCAAAAGAAATTTACAATTTCTACAACCCCCAAACTGATAATTATCCTTTGTGGTTTATGTATTGACTAAGTTCAGTTATACAAGATTTGACGTATTCTGATAAATTCATATTCTTATTACCATAAAGAACTTGAATCATTTCAATGTCATTTGCTTTTTTTGTAGACTTACATATGAAAAGAGATATGATATTGAATGAAATAAAAGATGTAAAAAGTAAGTATTCGTTGATGACATTGTTTAACCATTAAACTTTTAAACAGATTTCGTATGATTAGTAATATCAACATACATTTGTAAACTGATCTTAGAAACATTCACTGGATATTATATATTTCAACATTAGACTTTAAAATCAAATAAGATTAGGAAAAGAATTTCGCGTTTTTCATTTTTGAAATATTCCGCACTGAAATCGTACAAACAATAGTAGTCGTAGTAGTAGTAGTGATTATTGTAGTAGTAACAGTAGTAGTGGTAAAAGTAGTGGTAGTAGTAAAAATAGTAGTAGTAGTAGTAGCAGAAGTAGTAATAGTAGTAGTCGCAGTAGTCGTAGGTGTAGTAGTAGTATTGTTAGTAGTCGTAATGGTAGCATTGGTAGTAGGAGCAGTTTTGGTAGTAGTAGTGGTAGTAGAATTAGTATTGTTAGTAGTAGTCGTATTGATAGTAGTATCGGTAATATTAGTAGTAATAGTTGTTGTTGTGCTATTACTATCAGTTGTAGTAGGAGTAGTAGCAGTGGTAATAGTAGCAATATTAGCTATAATGACATTAGTAGTAGTAATGTTGTAGTGAAAGATCGCACAGATGGTGACAATCTAATATTCTGCATTAACGTACTACAGAATATCTTGGTCAACTGTGAGAACTGATTCTCTGATTGTTATTCTGAACGATCTCATCAGTACAAACTTCAAACAGAAATGAAGTTTGTATTGATGATTTTGTTCAGAATTTATCCTTATACAAAAATAATATAAACATTCATAAATATCGATATGAATGACAAATAATCGAATATCAACATATTGATAACTACTCTATTTTTAATAGTTCAGATCATGAATTAATTGAAGCTTGATCGTTATGACAAACCTGATTACATTGAATTTTACTCATTGTTAAAGAGTCCTCTAAGTAGGACAATACAACCGTCCAGTACTTCCAGGTCTTTCACATTGATCTAACTTCAAGTGACTCATGAATTCAACTATTGAAAATTACTATAATATCTACAAAACCCCCTCTCTGTTGATTAAATAATCTTAACAACTAATTTACAGAAACTATTCAACAAAAGATACGATCAGTAAGATCTCATAGTAACCTCATTAACTTAATAATTAGTAAGTTATTGTTTAGTTCATGAAGTTTATTTTTTATCTTATCATATATAAAAGTAAATCAATATTTATCAGAAGGGGTTTCGTGGAGATTTTAGAAATTTCACTGGTTGAAATCATGAGTCAATTGAAGCTAGACCACTATGGAAAACCTGGAAGCACTGGACGGCTAAGTTCAATTGACTGATGATTTCAATCAGTGAAATTTCTAAAATCTCCACAAAGCCCATTCTGATAATAACCATCTGCTCAATAGTGACTGACGTCAAGAGATACTCCTGGAGTTCTAGTGAGAAGCCGTTACCAGTGGAGTTCAACCAGGTCGGTTGTGAGATATCAACTCACTACAGACAAAGGTGTACGGTGGCGCGACTTGGTGGATTGGTTGAAATTAGGAATCAACACCATTGGACGACGGCCCAGTGGTCTAGTGGTTAAGTGCTCGCGTGCGAAACTGTTAGGTCTTGATTTAGAGTCTCGCGGGAGGTGAGGTCGTGGATGCGCATTGTCACTGAGGAGTCCCATACTAGGACGAAACGGTCGTCCAGTGCATCCAGGTTTTCCATGGTGGTCTAGCTGCAATTGACTTATGATCTCAACCAGTGAAATCAATATTTGATCAAGTTAATCTTTATGGATTATGTAACATGGCAACACTAATAATTTATGAACGAATTAATCAGATTTACGATGATAAGTCTTAGATTTTGGTATGAAATTCATTCATCTATTTGGTTAAATAGAGTTTTTGGTATGATAATTGGTGTCAGTTCGTGATGAAAACCCTAAATCTAATTCTTAATCCTAATCATCAACTACAAATCATAATTTTAACTCTTCACACATGTTTATAACCCTCATTTATTCCTGGGTATTAAAGGGACACTCAAGGTCACTCAACTGTTGGGGATGTTAGATCCCCAGAACTCACTTGGAAAAGGACCAACTTTTGTCATTTCATTTAGAAAATTTGAATTTCTTTATTTTCTCACCAAAACCGCTCTTGTCACCTTTATGTCGTGTTTCACACTTGAGAAATATCTTAAGTGTTATTAGTCCGTTGCGTCTTTTAGTATGCTATTTGGTAACTATCCTTAAGGACGGACTTGTACTGTATGTATACGTTTTGAATTGTGTTTGTTGTTATCACTCGTTTCTGGCTGTTTGCACAATATACTTTCCCATTTCAAGCTTGGACTTCTACTTCTGGTTAGCGCGGCTGGGACGCATCAATAGCTGGCTTACTGGCCTTAGTCACTGAGTCTTTGTTTTCGTTCGCACATCAAGTGAACTCGTGTTACCTTCAAAACTAACATTTACTATCGCCCAAAGATCGTCCATCAATTATGGTCTCATCGGTTATATCATATGAACATAGTAATGTAGCGTACACTGAATCTTAATTTCCTGATGATTGTATAACAAATTCCTGATCAAAACTCTTTTCAATCATTCATAAAATCAGTAATGTGCTTTAAATTGCTATGAACAATATGAACCAATTTGTGGAGTGTCTATCATTGAAAATTTGGAAGTATTGGATGGTCGTTTTGTTCTAGTATAGGACTCCTCAGCACGACCTATCTATGATCCGGCACATAAGATTGGAACCCAATACCTATCGGTCTTACGCGCAAACACTTATCTTCTAGACCATTGAGCCAGTTGGCATCCAACGGTGTTCATGTGTAACTTTATTCAATCCTCAGTATTTCACGATTGTCTTCAGTGAGTAACTATCTCACAACTAGGATGAAACAGCCTTCTAGTGCTTACATGTTTTCAATGATGGTCTAGCTTAAATCAATTCATCAATTTAACTACTAATGTAGTGAACAGAAACACGGGTGGGGACAATCGAATGTATTCGACACAAAATTACAGAACTTGTTAATAAAATCTAACAATCAAATAGTAAATACGTAATTTGCAAAGTGTCCATCGATTGACTCAAAATGACTCAGACTTCATTGTTCTTGCATTTTCATACAAATTGCATCCTGTTTCGATTGTTTACTGTTCGATCCTGTTGTCTCTCTGCTGTCAGACCTTTAGTTCACGACTAACATCATCTACTACTTATGTCAATATAAGTAGCACACACCACACTGACACTAATACAATTGTAGTGAAAGAGAGCACAAGTAAAGACAACCGATTACATTTCGTACAAAATGACAGAGTTACTTGATAAAATATAAACACCATACTCCAATTCTTCATTTTGTAAAATGTTAATTAATTGTCTAAGGTCTCATTGTTCTTGCATTTCCATACCAATTACTTTTCGTTCCCTTTCTTTCCTTCTCGATTTTCGAAACTATCTGGTGCCAGATATTCTATTCCTGACTAGCGTTATATACTACTTCTGTCAATATACGTAGCACACACTACCCTCATTCTGATAATGAAAGCTTGTTGATAAATTGTAAAATAATTCACAGTTTTCTAAGTTTATTTTATTGGTCTCTCAATTTTACAAGAGAATAGTTCAGATCAGATCAGATCACTTAATTTATCAAATAGATCAACATATAAAAAGATTTTCTTGAATGAATACTTGATAAACTGGAATCAGTAAATATGATCATATAAAAATTCATGGATGATCATTGCTGAGGAGTCCCTCAATAGGATGAAACTGCTGTCCAGTGCTTCCAAATTTTCCGTGATGGTCTAGCTTCAATTGACTCATTATCTCAACTGTTGAAATTACTACAACATCCACAAAATAACGCTTTCTGATACCAATTAACATATGCTTACTGGTGACTGACTTCAAGCGGTATTTCTTTAATTTCTAGTGAGAAGCAGTGACCAGTGGAGTTCAATCGGGTCTGTTGTGAGATAGTAACTTACTAAAGACAAAGGTAGATGTGTCGTTCCATTTTGTGGATTGGTTGAAGTTAGACACTAACACCGTTGGATGTCCAACAACTCAGTGGTCTAGAAGTTATACGCTCGCACACGAGACAAATAGATCTTGTGTTGAAATCTCGCGAAGTAGGTTCGTGGATGCGCACTGCCACTGAGGAGTCCCATGATAGGGCGAAACGGACCGTCATTCAATGCTTCCAGTTTTCCATTATGGTCTAGTTTCAATTGATTTATGATCTCAATTATAATATCTATAAAATAACCCCTTCTGAAATTTATTTCTATTGCATATTAAATTTCAAATGATTTGTATATTTGTTTAGGAAAGAATATCAAATCAGATCGTGCTAAGTCACAATCAATGGATCAATGTACGTCTAATTAAACACAAATGTTGATGGTTTTTCTTCAAATAATATTGTTTATTATAGATATACAATGTATAAGCAAAAGTTTAAAGATTGAGTATGGTCCTGATGTTATGGAAGGTTTGTACTACAAAGAAAAAAACAGTATCATTTTGTTTTTGGCATGAAATTGCATTATATAATAACCAATCTGACTGTTTTTTCCCATTATTGATTAGATTGTATATTCGATAGTGTGTTCATTGATCTCCCTCTGTTCTCTTTTCCTTTTGGGATCCCAAGTTTAGAATCACCTTATAATGAATGCAGTTTGATCATTTCCATCATGTATGTCCTAACCACCTCCAGCGTTTTTATATAGTTTTCTCTTTAGCTAGAAGCCAGGATATTCTCTACCATAATAAATTATTACAAATAATATCCGGTCAACCGACGTTGAGTAACATCGTAGATACTATTTTGATGACTATTGTGGTAATTCTTCAGGTTTCATGTTTTAACAATTACATCTACTACACACATTTTCAATCATTTGTTATGATGGAGAAGATTTGTAGCTCGAGTGAATGATTTTGATGACGTTTTGTTCTTTGAGCTGAATGGTTTGGTCGTGGAATTTTCATTGTTCTTCTGAACAACATCATCACTACAAACTTCAAGTAGAAGTGAAGTGTTCGAATTCCTTCACATGTGATACACAGCTTGTCCTGTAGATCTTGATGTTGATTGGTTCTTGTTGATCTCAAACTTGTCATTGTTTTCTTCTTTATTTTGGTTGTATCTCTCATTGGTTTGATGTTTGTTCTTGTGATTGTCCATAATTTTCTTGATCGTTTGATTAATTGGATCGATTTCAATGTGCTTGCTGATTGCTGATTGACTTCAGTGCCAAGTTTCTGAAAATTCTCTGGTGTTTTTGTAATCTCCTCTATCTAAAATGTCCTAATTTTTCCAGTCGAATGTGTGTCGGCAGTTGTCCATGTGCATTGATATATGTGGGGGCATTTCATGGAATTTGACCACTAATTGATGCTCGTGAAGGTGAAGATGATGAAGGGGGAGTCAGCTTTGTACGACGTAGTGTTTATCGCAGTCGGCACAGTTTATTTTATTGTTGATGTTTTGCTTTTCTTCGTTTGTCGTTTCGTCTTTTGGTTTGCATAGGATTGATTGCAGCTCAGAGAGCAAAACTCTATCTAAATCAATGGTTGAGATCATGAGTCGGTTGAAGCTAGACCACCGTGGAAGACCTGGAAGCACTGGACGGCCGTTTCGTCATAGTGTGTGACTCTTCAGTGGCAGTGCGCATCCACGATTCTGTCTTTTGAGATTTCAAAACAAGATCTATTGGTCTGATGCGCGAACGCTTAACCACTAGACCACTGAGCCGTGTGAATGTCTAACTTCAACTAATCCATGAAATTGAGCGACGCATCCATCGTTGTCTTTAGTGAGTTACTATCTCACAACTGACCCAGTTGAACTCCACTGGTCATTAATTCTCATTAGAACTCTATGAAATAGCTCTTGGAGACAGTCACTAGTGAGCATATGTTGATTCATGTCAGAAGGCGTTTTGTGGATATTGTATCCACATAATTATACATCTTTAAAATGACATTTGAATTATTCATATTCCAACTATATTCCGAAGAATACTGGTCAGTAAGAAAGGGAAAAGAGGATGAAGAAACAAACAAGGAAGCAAACCATCTAATGATGCTTCTATGAATTGAAGTCCTCATATTGTTTTATTAAGATGTAGTATATCACAGAATCCAATACATTTTAATTTAATTGATGTATTTTATCTATTTCATTTGTAAATATCTTAGACTTTGTAAATGTCGTGAATTCTATAGAAAAAAAGTATGGTGAGTGCTTGTAATGAATGAATATTTCATATTAGAATGAGGAGGAAGGGGTTTGTGGAGATTTTTGGTAATTTATTAGTTGAATTCATGAGTCAATTGAAGCTAGACCATCATGGAAAACCTGAAAATATTGGATGGTGTCCGTTTCGTCCTAGTATGGGACTTATAAGTAATGTGCATCCAGGATTGCGCTGACAGGATTCGAACCCAGGAACTGCAGCCTCTCGAATAACCTATAGATCACTGAGCCGGTAAGCCCACAACTGCCCAGGTACGGCCCAGATTGCGGAGGGTCAGCCCTCCCTCTCGAAATACTCTCACAAGGCCACGTGCCCACAAGCACTTCCACAGAAGTCCTACACACTGCATTCTCGTGGCATTATTGTTGTTTGCAAGTCTGAGAGAACGAAATGCGAATGTCCAGCGCTTTAACCGGGTTGGTGGATACGGAGGATTTACTTAGGAATGTTGGGAATCCCTGATTCCAAGCCAATGGTGCACATGATCTCCAGCATCGTGAAGGAACAGATGGCATGTGAACCAATGGTTGGTCACCGGCTAGCATGGGACTGCATCTCCTGAAGTCAAAGGCAACGGGTGCGGCTCCCTGAGAAAACCACCTGTTCGATTTGAGCACCCGCGCAGTATCCTAGCCCTCACACAAATCGAATGATTTATGTGGTACATATCTATTTGGTGCCTCCTTGTACCAATGTTTATTTGTTTAAATAATAATAATAATAATACTCAGCCGGCATCCAACTGTATCTAAATTCAACCAATTCATGAAATTGTGCCATCGTTCACCATTGTCGTCAGTGAGTCGCTATTTCACAACTGACCCGGTTGAACTCCACTAGTCATTGATTCTCACTAGAACTCCATGAAATAGCTCTTGGAGACAGTCATTAGTAAGCAATGGTGGACGGTGGTTCAATTCCATGGACTGATTGAAGTTAAACAGTAACACTATTGAATATCAACTCAATGGTCAACAGGTTAAGTATTCGCGTAAATGACTCACAGGTCCTTGGTTCTGTTTCAGTTCTACATACAAGATCATGGATGTTGACTGCTAAGGAATTCCATACTCTAGGATGAACACAACTATCCAATGCTTTCAGGCTTTCAATGATGATCTAGCTTCAATTGACACATTATGAAATGAAGCTTATCTTCATATTATGTAAATGTAATGCTTTAATTTTATTCAAATAGTTGTTGATTATTTCTATTTATAAACTATGTAGATATAAATCATCCGAAATCCCTTCAAATAAAAGAATGTTTTAACAATGAAAGAAAAATTTATGAAAGTTAGTTTAAACATTCTGTTGTGTTTTATAGGAAATATTCAATTATCATGATAGTTTGATGTTAGTTGAAATGAAAGTGAACTGAGAGAGAGAGAGAGCATTTTGAGAGGGAGAGCGGACACTCCTAACTCTCCGCCGTACCAGGGCGTTTGGAACAGAAATATTATTCATAAAACATCTACGTGTATATTAGCAAAAGTAAGGTGTTCATTTTTGTAGTCGACAGTGATCAGCGATGTGTATTTCTTTGATGGATTCAAATTTATGGCATCTAGTTTCATGGTGTAAGAAGTTGTCATACTCTAAATATGTCACTGGTATCATTTCAACACGTGAGTTTGAGTCACACAATTTCAAATCTCAAAGGGAATATTGGTTCCTTCAATGCCTTACAGATGCATTGTTTCCCCTAAAGAATAGGTCCATAGTTTACTGATGATAACTTCAGTGAAACACTTAACATACCAATAAATAGAAAACTCATTCTTAACGATTAAAATTATGTACCAGATCCATAGGGAATTAATAAAAGATATGAGATCGATTATTTTGTTGATTGAGATCATGAACCGATTGATGTTAGATCACCATTGAAAACCTGGAAGCACTGGTCGGCCGTTTTTTCCTATTGTGAGACTCTTCAAAGTATGTGTCGGATTTGGGATTCGAACCCACACCCACATCATGGATCAGAGCACTCTTGAGTCTGGAGTTTTAGACCGCTTGTCCATTCTGGAGTCTCACAATATGACAAAGCGGCCGTCCAGTGCTACAAGGTTTTCAATAGTGGTCTAACATCAATCGGTTCATGATCTCAATCAAAAACTTAATCATCTCCACAATTCAATAGTGATCTATTATTTTCGTCATTATTTCTATTATAATATACAGTTAGGTTTCAGGATAGAAACTTGTAAAACTTACCATTCAATTTTGTATTTAAACAGATATGAAAACTGAAGTCAACCAAGAAATATGTGATGAACTTAAACAACTCAATCAACGAGGTATATGTTTTGCTGCTAAGCTGCGTTCATTTTTTTTAAAATCATCATCCCATCTGATACTCGTCAATCGGATGTAACGGCATCTCGAAGTTGATCTTCATTCCGGGACTCGAACATAGTACTATTTGCTGCAAAGACCATCATGATATCCACTTAGCTACTAAGTCTTGATAGTCACGTGTTTGTGTATTGGGCTGAAGTTTAAATTCACTTAGTGTTGTTTTACTTATAACTGTCCATTGATGTTAGGGACTGTAATTGATCAGTTTCTTGTTGGCATATATGCATCCTGTTTAGATTGCCTCGATATTGCCCTTAGTTTTTGATGGAGTTTTGTTCTCTGAGCTGGATGGTTTGGTCGTGGAGCTTTCATCGATCTTCTGAACGACATCATCAGCAGCACAAACTTCAGATAGAAGTGAAGTGTTCGAATTTCTCCATATGTGTTTCACAGCTTGTTCTGTGCATCTCGACGTTGATTGGTTCTTATGGACCTTGAATTTGTCATTGTTTATTTCTTCGTTTTGATTGTGTCTCCCATTGGTTTGATTTGTATTCCTATATTTGTGCTTGATTTTCCTGATTGGTTGATAAATTGGATTGATTTCAATTTGCTTGTTGATTGCTGATTGATCTGAGTGCCAGGCTTCTAAAAATTCTCTGGTGTTTTTGGTGTTTCCTCTGTCTAAGATTTCCACACTTTTCCATTCGAATGAGTGTGGACACTCACAGAACGAGCTGTGAAACACATATGGAGAAATTCGAACACTTCACTTCTATCTGAAGTTTGTGCTGCTGATGATGTCGTTCAGAAGAAAGATGAAAGCTCCACGACCAAACCATCCAGCTCAGAGAACAAAACTCCATCAAAATCATCCACCTGAGCTACAAATCTTCTCCACCATCTGAATTGCCTTAAGTCACAAGCACTATAAGCAAAGATGGATAGTGGCTAGTAGTGAAAATGTTTTATGATAACAATTGTTATCATATTTTATGACAGAATTAAGATAACTAGACACTAATCATGTTTAATTTTCATGAATACAGTACAGAAATGGATGGTTTGGTCGTGAAGCTTTCATCGTTCTTTTGAACGATGAGAACTATTCAACATTGAGGTCTACAGGACAAGCTATGAATCATATGTGAAGGAGTCCGAACATATCACTTCTATCTGAAGTTTGTGCTGATGATGGCATTCAGAAGGTTGATGAAAGCTCCACGACTAAACCATCCTGTTCATTAGTATCATTTGATGTAATGTTGTAGGAGTGATTAAAGAGTTTCACTGGTATTTGCCCATTTTCTAACATGAACTACATGTTTACTTATTCAGATAAAAATGGATTATCGAACTGGTTGACACTTCAACGTATTCACATCAATTATCTCAATCTTGATTTATGTAAGTTAATCTAGTTTTATATTCAATAAGTTTGGTAACCATCTCCAACACCGGTTATCATTGCACATTGTGGTAATCGGTGTTCAGACATACGTAACACGTGGCCCAACCATCTCAGTCGATGAAGATTCACAACCTCATCAACTGATTTATCATCATTCCCTAATACTCTGCGTCTAACCTCACTATTACTTACCCGGTGATCCCAGTTGTTGTGTTAATGAGGTATGGCAACTTGGACCGATGAATATATGTGCCTGGTCCTACGTTGTAGCTGACTGACTGACTGACTGACTGAAGTTTGTTAAGACTATAATTTATGAGCAAACCAGTTAGATTTACGATGAAAGGTCTTGGATATTGGCGCGAAATTCACTCATCCATTTGGTTAAATAGAGTTTTGGCATTTTAACTAATATCAGTTCATGATGAAAAACCCTTAAATCTAATTCCTAACCGCTCAGCATCGATTGTAAATTATAATTCTATTTCCTCATACAGGTTTATCAATCTCATTTAACTCAGGTCAGTAGGTGGATATTCTTGAGACCAATTCGGCGTTGCCCAAAGGTTGTCCATAAATTATAGTCTCGTCGCAATCGTAGATCTTCATGTAACACGTAAACATGAGATATTCAGTTGATTTGATGTTATATTTTAAAATAACAAAACATTCACTTTAGTGTTTGTATTTTCATAGTGTCAGTCACGAACTGATCATTACCTAGACCCTTATTCAAAGTCTGAAAGTGACAAATAGCGATTTCATTCCAGTATAGGACGCTTTACGAAATCGTATCCACTATCACGTCAGAAGGAGTCGAACATAAGAAGTTCGATCTTCTCGTCCGAGCACTTCACCTCTAGACAATTGAACCGTCAGCCATCGATATTGATATTTATTCAACTTTATTACAATTTATACAGTCAGATTTTGTATATATTTTTTAGTTATATATCGGTTCCTGTCAGAACTTGCTAGTGTCGTAACCAGTTAGAATGAAATATGTAAGTGGAAGCTTGAATAGATTTGGCTGATTGTGAACAATTCATGTTATATTATTTTTATCATAAAATTTTATAGAAAAGAATGAGTAAGCTGAAGGAGGAATAATAAGACTATATCTAACTATCTATCTATCTATCTATCTATCTATCTATCTATCTATCTATCTATCTATCTATCTATCTATCTATCTATCTATCTATCTATCTATCTATCTATCTATCTATCTATCTATCTATCTATCTATCTATCTATCTATCTATCTATCTATCTATCTATCTATCTATCTATCTATCTATCTATCTATCTATCTATCTATCTATCTATCTATCTATCTATCTATCTATCTATCTATCTATCTATCTATCTATCTATCTATCTATCTATCTATCTATCTATCTATCTATCTATCTATCTATCTATCTATCTATCTATCTATCTATCTATCTATCTATCTATCTATCTATCTATCTATCTATCTATCTATCTATCTATCTATCTATCTATCTATCTATCTATCTATCTATCTATCTATCTATCTATCTATCTATCTATCTATCTATCTATCTATCTATCTATCTATCTATCTATCTATCTATCTATCTATCTATCTATCTATCTATCTATCTATCTATCTATCTATCTATCTATCTATGTCTGTCAACCAACACCAAAGACAGATCTCTCAACACAAATGTCAAGACAATTCTACTGTATGGGTGGAAACTTGGAGAACTACGAAAGCAATCATTAAGAAGATACACGTGTTTATTAACGGTTGTCTACACAAAATACTTCGGTTCCGTTGACCAGACACAATTAGCAACAACCTACTGTGGGAGAGAACAAACCAGATTGCAGTGGAGGAAGAAATCAGTAAGAAGCGCTGGAAGTGGATAGGACACACATTGAGGAAAGTACCCAAATGCGTCATAAGCCAAGCCCTCACATGGAATCCTCCATGTCAAAGGAGAAGAGGAAGACCAAAGAACACACGACGCTGATATAGATATGCGAAGAATGAACAACAACTGTATACGACTAGAAAGGAGGGTTCAGGGCAGTGTGGGTTGGAGAATGCTTGTCGGTGGCCTATACTCCACCAGGAGTAAGAGGTTCTTCATAATACCTAATAAACCATTATTGTTGAAACTTGACATTTTAGTTGATGTCAATTTCTGATGAGAATCCAAAATGTTGTCCCAATCCCTAATCATCAATTGTAAACGATAATCCACATCCTTCATACAAATTTAAAACTCTTATTTAACCCTAGTCAGTAGGTGAACATTCTGAAGGTCACTTTCACGTCACTCAAAGGTCGTTTATAAATTATAATCTCACCGGGTTTTGTAAATGTATACTGTAATACAATGATAATAATGATGAAATGAATGAGAACACAAATGAAGACTATTCGAACGTAGTTGAACATAAATAATTATATAAGATGTTAGTCAAATCTGTGAATCATCCACTGAATACTTCATTTGCGAAATCACACTCAATTGTCTCAAACTCTATTATTCTTTCATTTTCATACCAACTGATTCCTGTTCCCATTCTTTTCTTCTTGATCTTCTTGTGATACCAGACATTCTATTACTAACTAGTGTTCTATACTACTTATATCGATATAAGTAGCACATATCACAATATTAACATCCCTGAAGAAAAAACAATTATTTATTTACTTATTTATTTTAACACATAGATGTTGGTACAAGGAGGCACCAGATACATATGCGCCACACAAATCTTATTTGATTTGTTCGAGGGCTGTGATACTGCCCGGGTGCCCAAACTGAAGCAAGTGATTTTCTTAGGGGGCAAAACCCGGAGCCTTCGATCTGAAGGTCTGATCCACAAGGCAGTGGAGCATCGTAATTAGATGCATTCCCATGGTAGCCGGTGACCAACGATCGGTTCATACATTTATATTGACTAATCGTATCATTCTATGATTCAATATGCACATATATGAGAAGGTGTTTTGTGGAGATTGTAGTAATTTCAACAGTTGAGATCATGAGACAATTGAAGCTAGACAACCACGGAAAATCTGGAAGCACTGGACGACCATTTCTTCCTATTGTGGGACTTGCTTCAAGAGATATATCCTGGAGTTCTAGTGAGAAGCAGTGACCAGTGGAGTTCAACCGGGTCAGTTGTGAGATAGTAACTCACTGATGACAATGGTGGATGTGTCGCTCCATTTCGTGGATTGCTTGATGTTAGACATTAACACCATTGGATGCCGGACAGCTCAGTGGTCTAGTTGGTTAAGCGCCTGGCGCGAGTCCCACGGGGCGCGATCGGGGGTTCTCACTGCCGCTGAGGAGTCCCATAGTGGGAAGAAACGGCCATCCAGTTCTTCCAAGTTCTCCATGATGGTCTAGCTTCAATTGACTTATGATCTTAACTGTTGTTCATATGATATATATGTTAATTATCCTACAATTACCCATTACAATTGTAGATTGAAGTTATGATGATGATGATGATGATGAGGATGATGGTGATAATGATGAACGAGTATTGTTTATATAATTATGATTAACTTGTAATGAATGATTTCTAATGTATTAACAAATAACCAATTGTAATTTGTTCTGGTTTCTTATGTAACCAATGAATTCAATCAATAATGATTATTCTGTTCTTTTTCTTTTCAATTTTAATAAACCATGGAATCTCAATGGGAGTGAATAGGTGGATGGTTGAGTAAAGAGTGTGTGTGTGTGTGGGGGGGAAATCAATATTTTACAATAGAATAAATGAGATTATTAGATAGAGATAATTTAGGAATTTCATCGATACTTTATAAACAAAGATGGATGATGACTAGTAATGGAATTTAGGAAGAGTGTTTCATCCTATTTAGGACTTGTCAAATAGATGTACTTGCATTGCACAGTTAATGTTCCCTGCAGGATTTGAACCCAGTACCATTCGCTTTAGACGCCATCACATTATCCACTCAGTTACTAAGTCCTAATAGCTACCTGCTTGTATAATGGAGCGAAGTTATATTCAATTGATATTGTTTACTTGTATCTTCCCATTGTTGTTTAGGACTGTAATTAATCAAACTGTTGTTGGTGAATGTGTATCCTGTTCAGATTGTCTCGATATTGTCTTCAGTTATAAGCTTTATCTCATTTAGACTGTTTCAGTATAAATTAATTGTATCTGTAATAATGTCAATGGTTAAGATCATGAGTCAGTTGAAGCTAGACCACGACGAGAAACCTGGAAGCAGTGGACGGCCGTTTCGTCCTATTGTGGGACTCTCCAGCAGTGCGCGAAACGTCGGAAGATATGAATATATAAAGGTTGGTATTCCTTAATGATGTATAATATGACTGATCTATATGTTATAAATGTCATTCGAAATAGAAAGACCAAAACAACTACAAGACAACGAATATTAGAAGTCCACGTCTTTTGAAATAAATAATGCACATAGTGGAAGTTGTTATCAGTATTCTGGACTCAACTGTACGAACAAGGCATATAAAGGACTAATAAGGACACTAGGCTATTCATACAAGTCGAACATCCATCGGCGAATAAATCACATAATAACTAGTCTAGATTAAAGTCACAGCAGTGACAAAGACTGATCATTCTTATTCATTGCAAATATTTTGACCACTTTATAAAACGATATTTTCATTGTTCATTATACAAGATAAATGAATTTCATTCAAAAGACTTAAAGTTAATTTCCCGATTCTGAAGATTCATTTCTACCGGTGGAGTTCAACCAGGTCTGTTGTGAGATAGGAAATCACTGAACACAGTGGTGTACGGTAGCTCAACTTCGTGTATTGGTTGGAGTTAGAAATTAACACCATTGGATGTCAGCTTAGTGGTCTAATTGGTTAAGCGCCTGACGCGAGACTGATGGATTCTGGGTTTGAATCTAGCGGGGTGGGATCGTGGATGCGCACCGCTGAGGAGCCCCAGAATAGGACGAAACAGCCATCCAGTGCATCCAGGTTTTCCATAGTGGTCTAGCTTCAATTGACTCATGACTTCAACCAGTGAAATTTCTAAAATCTCCACAAAACCCATTCCGATCATTTCTATATGTTCACATGAATTACTGAAAATTAGTAAGTAGTATATATAATACACAGTTTGTCTTAAACTGATATTTTACATAAAACCATCAGTTTAACACTAAATTATCTTACTGACTTTTATTATTATTATTATTATTATTATTATTATTATCATCGTCAAAAATATAAGATGACAGTTCTTATTCTATTTACATCATAATTCAACCCAACCATTGAAAACCTGTGAATGTGATACGACTGTTTCATTTTACTGAGCCACTCCTCACCAACAGTGATCTAAAACTTTCAATCACGTGTATGAATGGGTTCATAATCTCTATAAAATTCAATAATCTTCACAACTTACATATTGATAAATCCCATTTACAAATTTATAACATAGATTAATCCAATGTCAGGAGATAATAACAGGTAGTGTCCATTGGTTAGATTGCATTAGGTTCCTATGTGATTAGATTGTATGCATAGGTAAACAGTCGTATAATTTCTTACTGTTTCTAGTATGATTATCAATTAAGATAACCTATATAGTTAGTAGGAGCAGTGACCATGTATATATCAATCAATATATCGATCGATGACCTGGTATGGCCGAGAGTGGGGAGGGTCCGCTCTCCTTCTCGAAATGCTCTCAAATGGCCACGGGCATACAACCACTGTCAGGAAAGTCAAACTCACTGCCTTCTTGTGGTGGGGGTGTTATTTACGAAATTGGGAGGACGAAAAATCAATGTCCGACACTTTAACCGGGTCGGTGGACACGGAGAGTCCAACTAGAAGAGTTTTAAAGGTATGATTCCAAACCAATGGTACACATGGGCTGCAGTATCCTGAAGGAAAAATGGCGAGTGAACCAATCGTTGGTCACCGGCTACGATGGGACTGCATATCCCTACATTATTCCAGTCCCTTGTAGATTAGACCTTCACGTCGAAGGCTCAAGGTGTGGCCCCCTAATAAAACTACCTGCTTCGATTTGAGCACCCGGACAGTATCCCATCCCTCCCATAAAACGAATGATTTATGTGGCGCACATCTACTTGGTGCATAATTTACACCATCAAATCGGAAACGAAGATTTATATCTTCTGAGAATGATTTCATTTTTGCGATGTATACTACTGATGTAGACAGATACTATTATTATGTATCATGAATCGGAAGTGAAATGCCTGGCGGTAGAAGGTAAAAAAAATGATCGAAGAGAACGACAACAGAGAATGATTGGTGTGTAAACAAAAGAACAATGAAGTCTTAGACGATTGATTTACATTTTGCAAATAGTTCTCAGATTTCGCTAATCGGTTATGTAATGTTGCATTCAAATACATTCTATTGTCTCCACTTGTGTGCTCTCATTCACTACAGTTTAAGTTAATTTCTCTGAATTTAATGATTTACTTGTATTACTGTAAACTGTAAGATGATCAATGTATATCCATTATGAATACTGTCTGTATACTACCAATTATATTGTATTAAGATATCTAGGACGCGGTATATGCCCCTTCATGAGGAGTAACAGGCGCAAGTAAGTAAGTAAGTAAGTAAGTAAGTAAGTAAGTAAGTAAGTAAGTAAGTAAGTAAGTAAGTAAGTAAGTAAGTAAGTAAGTAAGTAAGTAAGTAAGTAAGTAAGTAAGTAAGTAAGTAAGTAAGTAAGTAAGTAAGTAAGTAAGTAAGTAAGTAAGTAAGTAAGTAAGTAAGTAAGTAAGTAAGTAAGTAAGTAAGTACGTAAGTAAGTAAGTAAGTAAGTAAGTAAGTAAGTAAGTAAGTAAGTAAGTAAGTAAGTAAGTAAGTAAGTAAGTAAGTAAGTAAGTAAGTAAGTAAGTAAGTAAGTAAGTAAGTAAGTAAGTAAGTAAGTAAGTAAGTAAGTAAGTAAGTAAGTAAGTAAGTAAGTAAGTAAGTAAGTAAGTAAGTAAGTAAGTAAGTAAGTAAGTAAGTAAGTAAGTAAGTAAGTAAGTAAGTAAGTAAGTAAGTAAGTAAGTAAGTAAGTAAGTAAGTAAGTAAGTAAGTAAGTAAGCAAGTAAGTAAGTAAGTAAGTAAGTAAGTAAGCAAGTAAGTAAGTAAGTAAGTAAGTAAGTAAGTAAGCAAGTAAGTAAGTAAGTAAGTAAGTAAGTAAGCAAGTAAGTAAGTAAGTAAGTAAGTAAGTAAGTAAGTAAGTAAGTAAGAGTAAGTAAGTAAGTAAGTAAGTAAGTAAGTAAGTAAGTAAGTAAGTAAGTAAGTAAGTAAGTAAGCAAGTAAGTAAGTAAGTAAGTAAGTAAGTAAGTAAGTAAGTAAGTAAGTAAGTAAGTAAGTAAGCAAGTAAGTAAGTAAGTAAGTAAGTAAGCAAGTAAGTAAGTAAGTAAGTAAGATATTTAGGACAATGTTTCAAACTGAAGTGTCGGTTACTATATTAAGCTCATATAACTTATTCTAGGTTCTGAACAGACCTTGTTAATTATTCACTTATCAACCTTGATCGCTTTCATATGAGCGTATATATATGTGTGTACACTTCTTATCCTATTCATTACATGTCTGTAACTTATTTTTATCTAACTATAAATATTGATTAACGTTTGATTAAAGGAAGTTGGCTCACTCGCCATCTTCACTGCGTATCTTTACGTTCCGCTTCGCTCTCTCTTCTCCACTTCATCTCTCTCATTTCCTATCCAGATCAATGAGTGTAATCAAAGATCCACTTAATTAAATCAATTCGGCTTATACGTTTTTTCCACTGAGTATCGTTTTGTTCCGCTTCGCTCTGTTTTTCTTCGTTTCATTCACTGTGATTCTCTGATTGTTCAGATTAATAAGTGTACAAAATATACATATTCAAAACTTCATTCTCATATTTCACTTATTTAATTCCATTATTCACTAACCCAACTCAAGTCGATAAGTATATGCAAGGATAAACGACCTGATTAGAGTCAAATTCAAGGCCAAAAAAACAAAAAAATCAACATCATATGGATACAGTTGTTGTTGTTGTTGTTGTTGTTTTCTCATTGATTACATCAGTGTTTCAATTCAGAATAACCAAATAGGATAAACATTAACAAAATATTTCTTTTATTTCAATGATTAATAATTCAATGAAGGATATTTTTTTCGTAAAGTTCCTTGGAAGGTTCTACAATTTACATATACAAATTAATAATTCAAAAAATTGACCAAGTTAAAGGCAAATTGTATCGAAAGATGAACAATCATTGGATAGAACTAGAAAGGAAAACCTAGGAGAGAGTGAATTGGTGAATACTGGTCGACCGCCTATGCTCCACTGAGATTAATAGGCGTAAGTAAGTAAACAAGCATCAAGTTATATTGATCGATGTGATAGGAATTTACATTATTGTGCTTGTGAACATCTCCTAGTATAGCTAAGTAAAGGTTTGGTGAAGAAAGTGAACAATTCGATATTGTCCCACTTAGTACAAACTGGTCATTGTGATAATCCTTTTCAATTATTTATCGGGTTAGTGAATTTTTACCAAAGCTGGTCAGATTTAAAGTCCTTCAAACAGCTAAAGGAGTAGTCATCTGGATGAAGAAACTGGAGCTATGTGTAGAAAAGAAATATCTTTAACCGCTTCTTTCCCTTACCCCCAATCAACTTCAGGGCTAGTTATTCAATAGTCATCTTAGCTATTGAATGGCCTGACTTGACTATTGTACTTATAACCTTTCGTAGTCAAATGTAATCGTCTGTGGTATCTTTAGTAAAAAATCTTTGTATTATTATTATTATTAACACATAAGCGCGATCAAGTCAACATTCCATAGGAGTCATATCAACATTAACAATTTTATTCTACATTTTTGATTTAAATCATAAACCGATTAATGTTAAGCCACCGTTGAAAACCTGGAAACACCGGACGGCCATTTCGTCCCATTGTGGGTTTCTTCAACAATGTACATCCACAATTTCACCCTCGGAGTTCGAACTCAGGGCCTTTGGTCTCTATTTTGTTTGACAATCCTAGATTCACATGATTTAAACGATACACTTTGCCTTAAACCTAATCATTATGTTTTTATTTGTTGATTGAATAATATTATTTACTTACGCCTGTTACTCCTAATGGAGGATAGGCCGCAGACCAGCATTCTCCAACCCACACTGTCTTTTCGAATTCAATCCAATTCTTGTTCGTTTTTCTCATGTCTATTTTCATTTCCCGAGGTAGTGTGTTCTTTGGTCTTCCTCTTCTCCTTTGACATGGAGGATTCCATGTGAGGACTTGACTTGTGACGCAGTTGGGTGCTTTCCTCAATGTGTGTTCTATCCACTTTCAGCGCTTCTTACTGATTTCTTCCTCCACTGTAATCTGGTTTGTTCTCTCCTACAATAGGTTGTTATTAATAATGTCTGGCCAACCGATCCGAATTATTTTACACAGACAACTGTTAATGAACACTTGTATGGCTTTCGTAGTTCTACAAGTTTCCACCCCATACAGTAGAACTATTTTGACATTTGTATTGAAAATTCTGACTTTGGTGTTGGTTGATAGAAGTGTTTGAGTTCCAGATGTTCTTCAGTTGTAGATATGCTGCTCTTGCATCAGATCCTCTGTAATTAATAATCATGCTGGCCAGATATAAAGGTTATTACATCTTCCAAATCTTCTCCGTCAAGTGTGATTTGATTGGTGCATGCTGTGTTGTATCGGAGAATCTTGCTTTTCCCTTTGTGTATATTGAGACCTACTGCTTCTGAGGCTGCTGCTACACTGATAATCGTCTCCTGTATTTGTTGTTGCGTTTGCTATAGAAGAGCCAGATCATCTACGAAATCTAGATCGTCCAACTGCATCCTAGATGTCCACTGTAACCCGCGTTTCCCTTCAGATGTCGACGTCTTCATGATCCAGTCGATCACCAGGAGAAAGAGAAAGGGTGAGAGTAAGCAACCTTGTCTGACACCGGTCTTCACTTCGAACGAATATGTCAATTGTCCTCCATGCACGATTTTGCAGTTTAATCCATCATAGGAATTCTGTATGATATTGACTATCTTCTGAGGCACGCCGTAGTGTCGAAGAAGCTTCCATAGTGTTGTTCTGTCCACGCTATCAAATGCCTTTTCGTAGTCAATGAAGTTGATGTAGAGTGATGAATTCCATTCAACTGATTGTTCCACAATGATCCGTAGAGTTGCGACTTGGTCTGTATACAATCATTTCTTACGGAATCCTGCCTGTTGAACTTGATGTTGGGCGTCTACGGAGTCCTTCATTCTATTTAACAACACTCTGTTGAAGACTTTTCATGGTATTGAGAGGAGAGTGATGCCCCTGTAGTTATCACACTTGCTGAGATCGCCTTTCTTCGGTATTTTGATCAGAAGTCCTTCTTTCCAGTTTTTAGGTACTTGTTCCTCATCCCAAATCTTATTGAAAAGAATGTGGAGTATCCTTGCAGTTGCCGCCACGTCTGCTTTTAGTGCCTCTGCTGGAATGTTGTCTGGTCTTGCTGCTTCGCCACTTTTGATTTGTCTGATGGCCATGCTTATCTCTTCAGTTGTTGATGAGACAACATCGATTGGGAGATCCGTGGGTGGTGCTTCGGTGTTGGGTGGGTTCAGTGGAGCTGGTCGATTCAAGAGTTCTTTGAAGTGTTCTACCCACCTGTTTTGTTGCTCTTCAATTTTGGTGACTACCTCGCCTTCTTTGCTTTTCACTGGTCGTTCTGATTTGCGGCAATTTCCAGAGAGTTTCTTTGTTATGTCATACAGTTGTCTCACGTTTCCGATTGAATAATATTACTACTGAACAATATGACTTCATTGATAATTCGATGAGTTAACTTCATATTGTCACTTGAGGAAACATTAAAATTAATTCGGCTTGTATCATCCCATTGAGGTTTAAGACTGCAATTGATCAGTCTGTTATTGGCATATGTGCATACTGTGCGTATACCTCGATATTGCCTTAATTCGTAAGCTTTTTGTAAGCAATGATAGATAGTGGCTAGCAGTGGAATCCAGGACGCGCGTTTCGTCCTCAATGGGAAGAGACAAGCCAAACAATACCAAGTGAATTTAAATTCATCCCATTGCACAAGCGAGCGGTTGCCAGTACTCAGTAGCTGAGTGGGTAAGGCGGTGGCGTTTGAAGCGAGTGGCACTACGCTCGAGTCCGGTGCGTCCAGCTGACGAGTCCCAGGTGGGACGTGACGTAACGCGTGCCCTGGATTATTCTGTTAGCTACTGTCCATCATTGACTAAAATAATGTTAGTTTATTGTTTATAGTAATAACATGAAATGATTGATTCAACTTACATAATACCATTTGGATTATCTATTTCATTCATAATATCTGTCAGAAAATGATGTTTAACTAAAAATACAAAATATAGTACGGTAAATTATAGTAATGCTAAAAGAAGACCTGGAAGTACTGGGTGGCCGTTTTGTCCTAGCCTGAGGCTCCTCACTGTTGGTTGCCGATTCATTGATCTAGAGGTGAAGCTTTCGTGTGCAAGATCGATAGTTCGTGTATTCGAATCCGGCGGGGCGGGATCGTACATGCACACTGAGGAGGAGTCCTACACCAGAACGAAATAGCCTTCCAGTGCTTACAGGTTTCTCATGATGTTCTAGCTTCAATTGACTTATGCATTCAACCATTAAATTAAGAAAATATACACAAAACCTACTTCTGATAATCATCATCTTATGCTCACTAGTGACTGACTTCAAGAGATACTCCTGGAGTTCTAATGAGAAGCCGTTACCAGTGGAGTTGTGAGATATCTGTTGTGAGATATCAACTCACTGAAGACAATGGTGTAAGGTGGCGCAACTTCGTTGAAGTTAGACATTAACACCGTTGAATGCCGGACAGATCAGTGGTCTACTGGTTAAGTGCTCGCACGCGAAACCAGTAGGTCCTGGGTTCGAACCTCGCATGGGGCGAGGTCATGGATGCACACTGACACTGGGGAGTCTCATACTGGGACGAAGCGGCCATCCAGTACCTCTAGGCTTCCCATGGTGATATAGCTTCAACTGACTCATGATTTCAATCAGTGAAATTTCTAAATTCTCTACAAATCTCCTTCTGATAAACCTTGATTAGTCAAAATATATATACTTACATAAGTTAATATTAAGTAATAGAATTTCATTATGCTTATTCAATATCCGATTATGTAATACATCAATATCTGGAAAAAAGGAATAAGAAATTTGGCGAGAGTATAATTTATAGACGAACCAATTAGGTATAAGGTAAGAGGTGTTAGATTTTATCACCAAATTCACTCACCTATTTGGCTAAGTAGATTCATGACATTATAGATGATGTCAGTTCATGATGTAAACCTTAAATGTCATTTCTAACCTTAACTATCAACTGTAAATCATAATTCTAATTCGTCACACAGATTCATAATCCTCATCTGGTCTTAGTTATTAATTGGACACTTTCAAAGTCATTTTACCATCGCTTGAAGGTTGTCCAGGAACTATAGTCTAATCATGTAAACTTTAAAAATAATTGATTTACATTGCTTTGAAATCGGTTAAATTCACTTGATATTGTTCACTTGAATCTTACCATTGATGTTAAGCATTGCAATTGATCAATGGATAACCCAATGGTGTTTGAAGTGAACAGTACTGTGTTTGAGTCACAGAGTGAACATCAACTCTAAGATGTAGGTACACCCGGCTGACGAGTTCCGAACAGGATGAAAAGTGCCTCCTGAATCTTATTGCTAACCACTATCCATCTTTGTTTAGAATACTCAATCTGTTATAGAAAACTGGGCATTGATTTTTGTCTACAATCTAGTTATAAGATTAAGATATTCTCTGTTTTTTTTATATTCATTAAATTAACTGTGATTCTTATCAGAAGGGGGGTTTTATAGAGGTTGTAGTAATTTAATAGTTGAGTTCATGTGTCAATTACAGCTAGACCATCATGAAAAACCTGAATGCATTGGATGGCCTTTCTGATCACAATTATCATGTGCTCACTACTGACTGGCTTCAAGAGGTATTTCATAGAGTTCTATTAAGAAACAATGACCAATGGTGGACAGTGGCACAATTTCATGGACTAGTTGAAGTTAGACATTAACACTATTGAATACTAATCAGCTCAGTGGTATAGAGGTTAAGCGTTCGGGTGCGAGACCGATAGGTCCTCGATTCGAATCTCGCGGTGCGAGATTATGGTTGTGCACTGTTGTGGAGTCCAGTACTAGAATGAAACGTTTCTTCTCTTCTTTTTTTCATGATAAGTAACGTTTTTGTTGTTGTGCTGATTTGATATTGTTGATGTAACCATAGTAACTAACTAATTTGAACTATTTTGTAAACAATAAGTGATCATTAGCTGAGATAGAATGTAATTCAAAATTACCTTTATGTTTCAATGGTCTGTGTTTCATACATAAATTCGGCGTATGATAAAGGATCTTTCCTATTCAAGTATAAAAAATTAATGGTAAATATTCAACGTTTACAATTTAGTATCAGTCGTGATGCCATGTTACTGGAAGCAATCAACAGAATGGAATGGACTTAAGTTATGTGTAGAGTAATACTTATCAATTTGTACTAAGAAGAACCTGACATACATAGCATTGATCAAAACCCACTGATCAATCAATTGTGAATACATCTCAGACCTACAGGAGATCAGTCGCGGCCCGGATAGATCAGTTGTAACATCTCTGACTGTGAAGCTGGATGATACGGAATTGAAACCTCAAGGGTGCATCAGTTCCCTCAAGATTACAAGTAAACCTTGTTGACAAGTGCCTAATAGTACGAAACTCAGGTCCAGGGTATCTTTTTGACTACCTCCAAACACCATCTTATCTCAATATAATGCACGTAATGTCGAAATACCTAGACTCGTGGCTACATTGCAACTTGGTCGATAGGATTCGATCGGCACTAAGAAGGAACTGACACACACGACATTGATCACTACCCAATGATCAATCAGTCATGAGTAGTAAGTGATAAAACGTGATCCAAATGGTTTCTAGAAGCATTGACTAGTAGAATTAATCCTTGTATAATCTCAATTAGTTAACCACTAAAACCAATCGAAGATTGTACTGGAATATCGTGGATTCGTTGAAGTTAGAGAATAACACTAAATGGATGCCAGGTCAGTGTTCTAGAAGTTAAGCTTTTGCGCAACACCAAGAGTCTTAGATTTCCAGTCTCTTGCACAGGATCATGAATGTGTACTGAGGAGGATTACCATACAAAGATTAATCGATCATCCAGTGCTTCCAGATTTCCAATGATGATCTAACATTGATCGGGTTCATGATCTTAACAAAACAATTTCTATCTCATTTCAAACTGATTTTATTCAAAGAATATTAAACAATAATAATACCAATTCAATAATTACTCAGAAGGCATTACAATATTGATTCTTACTTTCATAAATCAGTTTTGAGGTAGCAAAACATGCCTTCAATTTAGACGATTGAGGAACTATTATACCTAAGCAGTACAAATAGAAAAAGTCATCAACTTACATTCAAGGAAAGTTAAGATATCATATGTTTACAATACAAAAGTAAAACTTATGATTATAGAAAGAATATTTGAGATAGGTTCCACCTGGAACCCCTCTTGAACTATTGCCTGTTCCAAGTCCGGATAAATGATAGGGTTGGGAGTGGGGGGTTTGAGCATGGATTTAACCACCCCATCCCATAGATAACTAACTCACTAAAGAAAAACACTAAACGATAAGTAGGTAAATAAGTAATGTTATATACCATGTTATGTAATAATAAGTATTTGTTATGAACACTTACGATATGTTTCTTCTATTGTGTTGATTACACTTTCTGATTCTATAATAAGCACAAATGAATTCAATTACATAATTTATATTCTATCATTAATATAATAAGGAATATGAAGATGGTTGGTAGAACTTTGTTTTACTTCAGTGTATTAAAGTTATATAATGTTCCATTGTAATTTCATTCAGATGAATAGTTCATTGTATATTGTATACGCGAGGTGCGAGATCGTGGATGCGCACTGCTGAGGAGTCCCATACTAGGACGAAACGGCCGTCCTGTTCTTCCAGGTTTTCCATGGTGATGGTCTAGCTTCAATTGACTCATGATTTCAACAAGTGGTATATTGTATACATTAAAATGGATTGAATTTCAACACACACATACACACACACACCTAAATGTGATCATTTCATTATATCTTGAATGGTTTAATTCATGAATCGATCTAAGCTAGATCACCTTGGAAAATCTAGAAGCATTAGACGAACTCCTCAACAGTGCGCATTCACAATCTCGCATAAGAGATTGGAACCCAGAACTCATCAGTCTCGTTCGTAAACGCTCGTCATCTCAAAACCATTGAGCTAATCAACACCTAATAATGTTAATGTCTAACTTTAATCAATCCACTACTTCCAAGTTTACCATAGTGATTTGGCTTAAATCAATCATACAAAAGAAACAAATGAATTCATAGAGATCTTTCAATATTCTCCAATGAATTAGATGTTCCTGTACAACAAACCACCAGTCTAATATAAACAAGAATCGGTTATAACAACAACAAACCTTTCATTAGATCAAAACGATTTTTATATTGCCAATATTTAGTAACACACTGGACATCTGTAATGAATAATATGGTCAATTAGTCACTATGTATATTGGTTCTTTGATTTTACATACATTTATTGATTGATTCCCATTCAGTTAAGGGGTTTTTCTTAATAAATTCTAAAAATTCACAAATGATTAGAAATGATCACAAAGGGGTTTTTTAGTAGATATTTTAGTAATGTAATAGTTCAGATCATGAAACGATTGAAATTAGACCAACATGAAAAACCTGGAAGCACTGGACGGTAGTTTCGTACTGATGCCCCCAAATACCTTGGTACGGCCGAGAGGGGGGAGAGTCCGCTTTCCCTCTCGAAATGTTCTCACATGGTCACGCGTATATAGCAGCTGACAGGGAAGTCCTACTCACTGCCTTCTCGCACCACGGGTGTTGTTTACGAAATTGAGAGGACGAAAAGCGAATGTTCGGAGCTTTATCCGGATCCCAAACCAATGGTGCTCCAGTATCCTGAAGGAACAAATGGCGTATGAAACAATTGTTGGTCACCGGCTACCATGGCACTGCATCTCCTCACAATGCTCCACTGCCTTGTGGATTAGACCTTTAGGTCAAAGGCTCGGGGTGTGGCCCCCTAAGATAACCATCTGCTTCGGTTTGAGCACCCGGGCAGTATCACAGCCATCACACATATAAAATGGGATATGTGTGGCGCCTATCTATTTGGTGCCTCTTTGTACCGATATCTATGTGTTAAAATAAATAAATAATAAATAATTCATATCAGAATGGAACTCATCAATAGTGCTCATCTATGATCTCGTTCGCAGGATTTGAATCCAGGACCTTCGGTCACACGTGAGAACGCTTAACCTCTAGACTACTGAATCGGCCCGTATCTAGTGGTGTTAATGTTTAACTTCAACAAATCCATGTTAGCGCTCCACCGTTCACTATTGTCTTCAGTGAGCTACTATCTCACATCAGACCCAGTTGAACTTCACTGATCACTGCTTCTGACTAGAACTCCAGAAAATACCTCTTGAAGTCAGTCATCAGTGAGCATATGTTGATTAATATCAGAAGAGGTTTTTGTGAATATTATAGTAATTTAAATAGTTCAGTTCATGAGTCAATTAAAGCTAGACCATCATGAAAACTATGAAAGCATTCGATGGCCATTTCATCCCAGTGTAAGACTCCTCAGCAGTGCGTAATCAGATATTGGTACACATTATTAACACAATAAAAATACCCAGTCAATATGATATAAATTTCAGTAGGTTTTATAGATTAGTCATTATTTTGTTTACTTTGAATTCGGCAAACAGATCTATTTGGATAACTTTAAAGAATCTTTACTAAAAGCTGTGATATTGTAGTGCATGCTACTTATGACGACATAAGTAGTATATAACAACAATCAACAGGAGAAAGTTGGGATGATCAAGTTGCTGATAGCGGGAACAAAGAGTAATTGTTATTGGTAATGAAAGAACCATAACATCTGAGACAACTGATGAGATACTTGCAGATGAAGTATTGAATCTATGGGATATCAACTCACTGAAGACAATGGTGTAAGGTGGCGCAACTTCGTGGATTGGTTGAAGTTAGACATTAACACCATTGGATGACGGCTCAGTGGTCTAGTCGTTAAGTGCTCGTAGGTCTTGGATTCGAATCTCGCATGGGGGCGAGGTCGTGGATGCGCACTGCCACTGAGGAGTCCCGTACTGGGACGAAACGGCCATCCAGTACCTCTAGGTTTCCCATGGTGGTCTAGCTTCAATTGACTGGTGATTTCAACCAGTGAAATTTCTGAAATCTCCACAAAACCCCTTTTGATAAAAGAATTCGTGTATTTCTGCATCCAAATACGTTGGCTGTTCATATTTGAGTATTCATTTATTACAATACTATTAAACATTTAAGTAGTCTCTTAACTAATCAAAAATTTCTAACATATTGTTGAGGACATCAGATCCTCAGAACTCACTTGGAAAAGGTTCTAGTTTTGTAGTTTTATTCTGAAAATTTGAACTTAACGTTTTCGCGCCAAGAGACACATAGTTGACCTATAGCTTAGATTTCTTACTCGTAAATCCTTCACTTTCATTGGTTGACGAATTTGTTTAGTACTCTATTTTGTGGCTTTCCCAAAGGCATTTCTATCATTGTATAAATAAGCATTATTTGTGTGCTTAGTGACCTCATATTTTCTGGATGCTTGTAGAATACATTCTCTACGCTTCATTAAGACTTGTTGATCAAGTGAGTAGGGCCGGGGACAACGGATTTGAATAGCCTATCATGTCACTGTATCTTTGACAGACGTTCCGTTTACTGAGTAAGGCGAAGTCGTAATAGCATTTCAACATATCACATATTCTTCATGTGTAGAATCATCATGAATTCCAAGATTTTGTAGAGAATTGATGAGATTGAAATTTATGTACGACCTTGAAGGGACGCTAAATTGACTTTCAGAATGTTCACTTACTTAATAGAGCTACATGTAAGTTTTAAACCTGTATAAAGGATAAGGATTATGATTTTTACAATTGATGGTTAAGATTAGGGACAACATTTCAGGTTTACATCACGAATTGACATCAGTTAAAATGTCAGGACGTTAGTTAGCGAAATGGATAAACAAATTTCGTGGCAAAACTCAAGACTTGTTATCATAAATCTGATTGGTTTGTTCATAAGTTAGGATCTCAACATTTAGTAACCGACATGTTTATTTATCACTTACCTATTTGTTCTCCTAAATACTTTATTTCAAATCTTAATAGCTTTGTATTCTCTTCTATTGATTCTGTGAAATAACCATAAAAATCATTTTGATATATATATATATAAAAGAACATAAGATGGATGATGTCTAGCAGTGAAAACCAGGAAGCGCGTTTCGTCCTATTTTTGACTCATCAGATGGATGTATCTCTGGGATTCGAACCCAGTACCGTTCTTTTCAAACGCCATTGCGTTATTCACTTAGATATAAAGTTGTGATAGACACCTGATTCTGCAATGGGATGAAGTTTGCTTGTATCAACTCTGGAATGCAGGTACATCCGGTTGATGAGGCGACTGTTAACCGCTAAACATCTTTGATTAGAACTCATGTGAGTTAAATTAATATCGAGGTCATTCGCACAGAATGAATATATGCTAATAAAAGGCTGATCAATTATAGTCCTAAACAACAATGAAAAAATACATGATGTATATTTGTTAAGTTTGTCTTACATTGTTCCTACTCGTTCGATTTACACTCTTTTGTATATTGTCTTATACTACTTATTTATATTCAGTAAGCAGTTGTATTCCCAACAATTTTCACACTCATATTGTACTTATCATTGTATTTATCATTATAATTACTGTATCTTAATCACTTTAACGGTTATCCACAGATTTGTGCATTTGTTTAAACGAAACAGTTTCCATATTGTTTTGCTCTTGGTTCGGGTTTTGGTTGCTCATAAACTGTTGTCAAATTTAGACACAGCTATTAGCTGTCCTTTGTACTATCGTATGGTGTAATTATTCTTTATGTTACTGTTACGGGACGGCTTTTTATTTTCATACTTGAAGGACGCGTTTAAACGTCCCAGACACCTCACAATTTGAGGTTTGTAACTAAATGTTGTGTATTATTCAATAAAGAACCGTTATTGTAGACAAATGGTTGTTTTGGAAACTTCGGTTTTGCGCGTATCTCAATCGGGTGACTTGGACGCATCGATGGATCTAATAATATTCATGAAGAAAATTTTCGCTATATAGCCTATATCCTTAACTTTGAATACCTAACCCTGACTAGGAATAATCTAAGAACATTTAACAATCTATTTGGTTCCGTATCAGAATTCAAGAGAACAGGTTATCGATACCTGTAATTAACAATTTGCATGTAGTTTTATCTTTAATTTACTAAGAGAGTAAACTGTTTACATCTTGTAATATGATCATTATCTTTTCCGTATACTATTGTAGTTTGTGTTACTTATGTCAGCATAAGTAGTACATAACACTAGTCAGGAATAGAATGTCTAGCAGCAGATAGTTGAGAAAATCGAGGAGGGAAGAAAGGGAACAGAAAGCAATTAGTATGGAAATGCAGAAACAATGAAATCTGAGATAATTAATGAACAATTTGCAAATGAATTATTGTAGTATTGTTTTTGTATTTCATCAAGTAATTGTGACTGTGTTCTGATTAAATCAGTTACAGAAGCTGCGTAACCTCTTGAATAACTTGCCTATTAATCAGTAGGAGTGGGTAAATAGTAAGGAGGAGCCGTTGCAATGCCGTGAACAAGTACACCAAGTGGTACTTATGATGAGCTATCACATCAAGAAGCTGATCTAAGAACGGAGAAATGCCGATGATTTAGTGTGGAACTATCACATGTGTTCTTCATCACTAGAAAACAGATAGACATCTGTTACTCTTGTTCTAAGCTCTTCTTTATACTACAATGTCACTGTAATTATGTCACAGATACTATGAAGTTGAATGGATGTTTAAGTATTATATTGTACAAATCCATGTAAGCATACAAACCAGGCATTACTTTACACTAAAGATTGTAAACAACATAAGTATACTGTACACATAAATATGTAACCGTTTGATTGCACGAAAATAGAAGTATAGATAATTGCTTACTTTTAGTATCATCCAGTTCATCTGATAGAGATTTCTTTACCCAATAGGGAACTTCAACTGAATAGAATCAAAAGAGTTGTAAACTATATGTATATATATATATATATATATAATGAAACTTATTTTGGTGGAGTTTTGTTCTCTGAGCTGGATGGTTTGGTCGTGGAGCTTTCATCGTTCTTCTGAATGACATCATCAGCAGCACAAACTTCAGATAGAAGTGAAGTGTTCGAATTTCTCCATATGTGTTTCACAGCTTGTTCTGTGCATCTCGACGTTGATTGGTTCTTATGGACCTTAAATTTATCATTGTTTA